AAATAATAATGTAAATAAATATAAATTAAAAAAAATAAACTACTGCTTTCCAGACACTTCTAATCAGGTATGTAGGAGAGAAGGGTAATTTAAACTTTATTGTCTGCCACTGTCAGCACTTCCTGCATACATCTGCTTGTTCATATGTTACTGGAGTGCAAGCAGAAGTTCTGTGGTCTTCCTGTTTAAATAGTGTCCAGACAATGGCTTTCCCATTGCCTTTTATTTAAAAGGCTCTACCTGGTAATGCAGTTCTGTTATGCTGTCTGTTTTCATGGTAAACTGACTTGGCCTGCAAAGCCCTATTTCTGCACACACATCTAGCATTTGACACTGAGAAAGGCAGTTAACTGATTTTTTTGAAAGGATGGAAGATTACAAGTAAAAGATGTCTGAAACATCTGCTCCTGTTCTTAAGAAAAGTGTACAGAAGTGCCCACGTCAATGAGCACTTTGGGAGGAACCACAGTTAATGGTGAAGTTGTTTGCTTTTCTTCAGAAAAACTGAAACATTTTGTGGACGTCTTATAATGGTATTGAGTGACAATTAACATAATATCTTCCATTTTCTTTCAGAAAGATGCAACTGTGTGGCGTAAACCATCAGAGGAATTCAGTGGATACCTGTAAGTTTGCCTGCAGAGCAGATAAATTTTTAAGGTTGTACAGATGTGTTTCGTACAATTTAGAAGTGAAGATTGTGGCTTATACAGCCCTCAGCTACACAGGTTCTCCATAGGAGAGGTTAAGTGGATCATCTAGTGTGCTTGTACTATGCCTTTTTAGTGTTATACTTTGATGGTTTAGCATTGCATGGCGTCTAGAATAACGAACAGTGAAAAATATGAAACACACCACAAAACACCTGTTGGCTGAATTGGGTACGAACATATGCCCAGACCTGTAGAAAGATGGTCTGCAAACCACAGAATCATGTCCAGGCTCAGTAGGGCCAAAGTCTTATTAATGAGTGAGAACCCAGTCAGTACTTGGACTGTTACAGTGACTATGCAACTGCAATAGAATAAAATATCAAGTGTGGTGTTGTGGGAAAGATGTGTGACATCAAGGCCCTTCTGTGTGAGTTTCTGTCACTGGGTTCTATTGGTACCTTTAGGTTTAGGTAGAGAAATAGTTACTAGAAAACAGCACTCTGAAGAAACAGAAAGTCAACCTTGTCACTTTCAACAGAAAGTGAAAAGGTGTATTTGAAAGTATCTCAAATACTGATAACGCTTTGCGGAATTAAGTCCTGTTGAATCTGCAAGAGCTGATGCCCCCAGACACCAAGAGTCTTGCTGACTCTGTGCAGGGCCACAGGCACACTGGCATCAACAGGTTGTGTAACTTGAACCACTGCCAAGAATGCAGTGGCTGCTATATGCAGATGAAGACTCCAGGGTTGTGCATACATCTCGTGAAATAAAGGACACTTCGAAGAACTTTACAGACCTAGAAGCCACTGACATGTTTATCTGGTCCTCCAGTTCTGAGCATACAGCTGACGTTGGCTCCAGCCAGGTAATTATGAGTGAATATGGGGAATGGTGCAAGTGAACAGATGACTCTGTTGCTTGACTATTTACCTACTATTAATAAGAGCAGCTTAATGAAAATAATGGTCCTGATGGATTCTCCCCCTTCAGGAGCTGGAGGCCCTGTAACTCAAGTAAATAAAATCTCTGGTGTCTACTAAAAATATCTGACAACAGATTAATGTTCTGTCATGTCATATACCAAATTATTTTATTTTGTACTCATATGCCATCAAAGCATAACATAGTTTCTCATTAGCTTGGTTCTACTACTGTTACTTCTACTTTATGAAAAATGTTTTTCCTGTTGTATTCCTATTCTCTTTTTGCTTTTAGTTTTACTTGTCCTTGGTGGACTCCCTTGCCAGCAAGAAGAGCAAAATAACAAATTGTTAGAGAAATAAACATGATGATTTTTATCTGAGGAAGAACTTTGCCATTTACAAAATATTGATTACAGCATAAGGACAAAGTTTCTCAGAATAATATTTATTGCAGAGAAGAATAAATGCACCCATAGGTCTCTTTCTGTACAATACAATTGTCCATTCACCATAAGTCCAGGTACCAAGGTGTTATAGTAATTGTGCTGTTGCAAATTAATGGAATATTTATTAAGAATTTCTCACTTTTAAATGTAAACATGTGTTTCTTTAGCTACAAAGCTCAAGGAGTGGTGGAAGATGTTACTAACAGAATAGTGGATCATATCCGCCCTGGACCTTATAGGCTAGACTGGGACAGCTTAATGACTACAATGGACATCATGGAAACATTTGAAGAGGTGAAGACTCGTTTAGATTCTTAAGGGAAATGTGCATAGATGCATACATGAATTTAGCAGTACAGCAGAGTAGTCATTCTAACAAATACTAACATTTTTCTGCCTGTTTTCTGCATGCATGTGGGATATTGTGCAAAGATGCAACGGGTGACCTTAGATGAGGCTTTCTGGCTGCACAGTCCTATTCTGAAGCTCAAAGTTCATCTTTCCATCAGTGCTAAAAATAAAAATAAAATTTGGTCAGTCACAGTTCTCTCAGACCTGGGAGTTCTGGTAGCCTCTGATAAAATTCATATAGGGACTTACAGTGTGATATTTCGTATGCCAGAGCTGTTTCATAGAGCTTACTTTCTTCTGTTCCACAGCAAATGAAATTGTGGGTATTAATAATCCACACATATAGAAGCTGGAACTTCTCCCTCTTCCTGAAAGGCTGACTTCACTGTGTGACAGGGCTTTGTGCTGGGAGACAAAATAGTTCATACTGAGGGGCAGGACTTGCTAAAGAAAGGTAGATTGGAAGTTGATTACAGAAGGGCTGGTTTGGTTACTGGGGACATTCAGTATGGCTTCAAAACCCTGTGGATGTCTGGCTTTAACAGGGTTAATCTTTTGCTCTGGCTCTTAAGGAAGATTTATTATCTTTTAAGAAAGCCTTTTTTGAAGACTTGTTTGCATTGTTTTATTATTCACTTGGTGGATTGAAAGTAGTTGACAGAGCATCTTAGTACCAAGAGAGGCCTCTTGCAATTTATTCACTGTCCTTTCAGACTCCCTAAGTAATGGTTAAGCCACATGCCTTTCAGTTCTCAGGTATGTCAGAGCTCTCTAGTTTTAGTCAGTATGGTTTAAAGGTACCAGATATGCTCTGCCGTTGCAGGTCTCAGTTGCAGACTGCAAGTCCTTACAAACTTCCAGCATTTAGACTGAAAATGCCATAGCCATTCAGACCTCACTGAAGTTGTTTGCACAGCGTAGTTGACAAAGGCTGTGACCTTTGTGGAAAAGGCTAGCTGCCTACAAGCATAGATTTCCCTGTATTCATTATACTACAATATTTTTGTTTTCTTACCCTCCTCATTCTGTGACTCAACAAGAATTGCTGTGTGATGCGCTACACCACTGCTGGCCAGCTCTGGAACATCATAGCACCAAGGGAGTTTGTTGATTTCTCTTACACTACAACCTATGAAGATGGGCTTCTAACATGTGGTAAGGCATCATCTGCTTAATTCTTATTTTGCAAAAGCTGCTTGGCTTAAGATTTGTTTCAAATTAAGTTTAGTTCTGCAGTAAGCATTCAAAAATAGTGTAAGATAGTATCCAACAAATATCTCAAAAGTATTTTAACATTTTACAGATTTAAAGAAGTATACAAGTTACTGGTTTACCCATGAGCCATCCCTGTGTGCCAAGTTTCACTTATGCCAGCTGTGGTACAGGAGTGGTAGAGACAACTTGAGTGCTCTGGCTCAGCTCTTACGGCAAACTGGGTGGAGTAATAATTTGCTCAGCTTGCTAGTAAATGGAAGGAATGTCTTTTTTAATGTCAGTATTTCTGCTTATCAAGCTTTTCTTGTCTGTTGTGGAGTTTGGATAAAGAGCAGACAACTTCCATGCATGAAATTACCCAGAAACTTGAAGTGTGACTGTCACTTCTACTCAGTTGCCCAAGCAGAAATGTACAGATTTACATTTACTGTACCTTTATTTTTTTATCTGTCTCAAGTTAATTTACCTTTTTTTGTTTGTTTTCCTTGATAGGTGTAAGTCTAGACCATGGAGAGGTGGGACCTAACTTTGTCCGTGGATTCAATCACCCTTGTGGTTGGTTCTGTGTCCCTCTTAAGGACTATCCTAGCCACAGTCTTTTGACAGGCTATATTCAGACTGAACTCCGAGGGATGCTGCCACAGTCTGCAGTAGACACTGCCATGTCTAGCACTTTGGCCAATTTCTACTCTGACCTCAAAAAGGCACTGAAAAGGGACAAGCAGTGACTCAAAAGCCTGTGCGTTTCTTGCAATCAAATTATATTGTTTAGCTTAGGTTAGATTAGCTACTGAGTTAAGAGGTGAGTAACATTGTTCCTGAATGCTACCTGAACCTTTATGTTGAGGAATCCAATCAACTTTACCAAGTACTCTTTGATGTGATACTTAGCATACATTCCTAATTCACAGTGCAAGATTCTGTTTCCTGCTCAGCACTCTGCGGCTGTGTGAGGAGTAGTCTGAGTCTCTAAAGCCCTGGCTTCCTAGGTAGAAAACAGAAGATGTGTGTGTGGGCTTGAAAAATGCATCTTATCACCAGAAGTACTGAGAGTGGAGTCCTCAGCATTTTGCTGGTGCAGGTCACTGTACAGGCAGCATCTCACTGAAGATGTAATTTTGTAATATATATATTTTTATATTTACTTAAAATTTTTGATTTGTTTTGTTTGTACAGGTGCATCTGTAATTTGTCTTTAAAAAATTGATTTATCGTAGGCATATTACATAGCTAGATTGTTAAGTGATACTATTCGTAAGAAAGCTATTTGCTGTTGTTAGCAAAAATAAGTATTCATTATTGGCATTTCTTCAAGATTGTAACTGTAACCTACTTAACTGTTGTATATAACAGTCTTGGTGCATAGCTAAAGAAATGCCCTTACAGCTGATCCAAAGCTCATTTAAGTCCTCAGGTGTCTTTCCATAGTTTTTAGTGAGCTTTTACTTACACAGTTGTCAAAATAGCAAGCCTCCTATGGATATTCTGTGATACTCTGCACTTCTAAAGAATTTTTAACTTAAATTTGCATGTTATTGTGTATGGGGTTTTTTTTCATCTTCCTTAACTGAAAATCCTACAATTACTAAAGCACAGAAAGGACAGCTTACTTACTTCAGGTATAGGCATTGGTGCACTGGCATCTTAAAACATGATCAACTGAAGGCCAAAGCTCAAACCTGAATTGTTCAGATCTGCTGGAGAATGGAGGGTCAACTTTTTAAAGGATATTTAACCACCCAGTGATGCTGACAGGTACATAGCACGGGCTTTCAAAGGATTACTGTATGTGCTGCTAGGAACCTGAATTCTATTTAAAACCTGACATTGAGCTCTTAATGTTGGTATGCATCATTTGCACAGACGAGATTGTAATTATCCTATGTTTTACGAGTGCTAGTAAAGGGAAGTTTATGTGCATAGTAGTTAGGGAGGGTACCTTGGAGCCCTAGTATTTTGGGGGCAGTTGTATGCATACAATCCAATGAACTTTCAAAAAAAAATCAGATTAAAATTGTTCCCCTGCAATATTGGTTCTTTTGACACTGGCCACTGTAGCTGAACTCTGAACAGTGAAGACATTTCTCATTGCTCAAGCAAAGAGGTAGGAAAAAACATGACACCAGATACAGCGAAGGCTCTTCGAATGTGTTTCATGTATTAAGGCGTTTACTACTGTTTAAGATGGTTAAAAACAATGGCGTCTAACAGCCTTTGGTGTCCTCATAGGCAGAAAATGGCAACTCCCTGATGGGTTGTGTGTATTTTGTGGTTCCCTTTAAACTTCTTGGTTACTCTTCCCATCTTCTCTATATTCCTTGTTTCCCCCACAGTACTGGAAGTTCACCACCAAGGACAGTAAGGAATCAGTGTCAGCAGACATAGTTTTTCCTAAATGCTATGATCCACTCCTTTCTAGTACTGGTACAGAGGCAAGTATGAAAGGCCTAGCAATAGTGGCCTGTGGGATGAATGCTGACATGATTATAGAGGAAGCTGTGTGAAGTGTACCCTATTTATTCTTCCCAAGTTATAAAGACTATATGTATAGTGAATCTGCATATTCATGTCTTCTTTTTTTAAAACTGCTGGGACTGATTGAGGGGTTGTGATACAGATGTATATAGACAAAAATATTCCATTGCTCTGTAAAAAGCCCGTTTTAAATCTGCACAGAGGCACTTCAAATGGGTCAAAAGGGAGCACAAGACACTTAGAGGATGATGTTTGTACAACACTAGGCACTGCAGAAAAGATTAATAGATCCCTTTTCCAAACGCCCATTATAAGGGCTCTAACACCTCTAGAGCATCTGTCCTTATTTAGTGTTCAGTGAAATGGCTTTTTATGCTTTCAGTGAGGATAGACTGATGAAACACAGAACAGCTGAAGAAAAGAGAACTTGTGTTAAAATGGAAGAAAATTGCTACCATATTTTAAGTATGATGATTTTAATAAAAATTTCTTTGTGAAGGTTTCCTTTGTATTACCAGAGTTGTTTTCAGTAACAGGCCTGGAAACAGAAAGATTTTGTGAATTAAAGTTTCTGAAAGCAAAGCAGGCCGCCTATTTTGTATTATAGTAATTTATTCCTTAAGCACCAATTAAACTGGTTTTGTGTGTTCTAACAGACATAGTCTGTTGCTTCTGCCAATGAATCTGCACGTTCAAATAACACTGGAAACAGAGCATGGAGGCAATTTTTTTTTAATCAATAAAAGAACACAGTACGATTCTCCAGTTTTCAGAAGAGGAGAAGCCATGGAAGATGCTAACAAATTTTAAGGATTTATTTGGGGAATCTGAGGCTTCTAAAAATTGTTGTGATTAGGAGTGCAATGATTGACAGTGTATGCTGATTATGCTGCTGAAGCAATGCATAGCTGCTACCCTTACAGTCATTATTCCAAAAAAAAATGGAGTAGTACAGAACTAGAAGAAAGATGTCCAGATTCATACTGTGTTATATTTATTTGGAAACAAAACTTGAAAATTTCTTATATAGCTAAGGATTGAGAGGAATGTTAGATCTTGAAGCAGAGCTGTTCTTTAGCCAGAGTACATTCAGAACCACGAAAGCCACAAAATCAAGTACTTACCCAATCAGAACCTCTTTTCCCTCTATGGCATTGTTTTCCTCCTAAGTTAGTGGACAATCTAGATGGAGGCAAGACAGTGAAAACAGGAAAGCAGTTGAAAGGACAAACTGCAGGAACCCATGTTTTGCTTATTTGGAGGTAGTGGGAGACAAAGTAAATTACCTGGTATTCTGTCATATAATACCTGTCAAAATACCTAGGTTTCTGTCATCCTCACAGCAGCAGAATTTCTGCAAGTTTGTGAGGTTTGCCAGTATCCGAGTTTAAGAGTGTTTCAGTTAATATAGTGGAATATAGTTATCCAAAAGTGATTTCTGAATGTGATGCCCAAGAAAAGCAGAGACCAGTTTTTGCTACGGAAATAGCATGTATATAGAGGCACATAAAATTTTTTATATAACTAGTATTTTTATTTAAATTACTTTTTCATGGATTTAGGCAATATGACAGTTCAGTCTTTTGTCACTTTAACTAGATGCTCTGTGTGTGGATGGGAAAGGTGGCTAAAGGTAAGACAATTTTCATGATTAGCTGCTGTTCCTCATCTAAAAGCTCCAGCATTAAACCTTGCCTGTAGTTGTGCTCCTTATTTTATTAACATAGGCAGACAATGGAGATTGGGCTAAGTTCAATTTGGGGGCAGCCCAAGCCTGCTGGGAGGTGAACCAGTACTTCAGATAGATACTCTGGGAACAGCACAAGCCCTGATCTCAAATTTGATGAACTTATAAACATGAAACATGATTAATTTATAAAACATGAAAAGAATGTATAATTCCTCCAGTAATCAGAAGTAACCAGAACTGTTTTGATGGTGTGAGCTGGTGATTCAACCTAGGAAGTTTACTGCTGTAAAAGTAGCCATAATTCTATTGAAACCAGTCAAATTGTGCCTATGTTCAGAAAGTCAAAGTCTGTCTTAACTGTGGTTTTAACTGACTGTTCAGCACTTAAGAGATTGTGTTTATATTCTGAATGCAATTGCAGAATAAATTAAAACATGGATTACAACACACTCATGATGTAGCTTTTTCAATACTTGTCAGGCAGATGTAGCATTCAGTTACTTTTTGGGAAGTTATGTCTGATGATGTACTTCATCTTCAGCTGCACGGTGATCTCTGATGCTATCAATTAGCCTCCTTAAATTTGAAAGCCAAAAAGCCTGTCTTTACTTCGAAACTTGTTCTAGGCCAAGGAAGATGCACAACGCAGATTTCTGCTAAACAGAAATCTCTTGAACCAAAATTATGCAAACAGGATTTTCTCAAAATGTAAATTCTAAAAATACATATAGTTTTTTGTAATGACCCCATAATTACTGTTGAAGAACTTTATTATTTTGTCTTAGTATTACTTACCTTTTAGCACGTTTAAGAAATGGTTTGTTAACTACCAAAAGGAAATTAATCCAAACCCCATGAGCATGTAGCACTTTGCAAAAGGCACATAGATGTACATTAGGGTTATAAAGCATGCTGACACATGTATTTTGACATGTATTTAATTATTTCTAAAGAAACGAAGAAAATGCCTGTATCTTTTGTAAAACCTTTCCTTGTTTCTCTTACTAAGCCTGCATAAAGGCAGGAGAGTTCTGTAGCATTTGACTTCAGAGCAAAGAGTTGCAGCTGTCTTCTGTTGCTGAGAAAAGGAACTGTGATGTCTGAGATACAGCACGTTCTCACAGGGCATGTATCAGGTCACCCTCTTCAAAATGGGCTATGAATGGGTACAGAGGCCACTTCAGATCTTCTGAAAATTATTAAGGACGTTAATTACAATTATTTAAAAAGCCAGTGATATTTAAACCTATTTCACAGTGAAAGAGAATATGAAGATAGGGGAGATAATAATAAATCTATACAAAAGATTAAATGTTCTCTAGGAAAGAATATATCCTGAAGTCCTAGACCACAATTTAAACTTTCTAATACATTCCGCCTTTTCCAGTCCTCACTGAGCTGTGCTGGTCACTCAGTTTTAGAGTACAGGTAGGGACTGATTATTGTGGAGTTAACCTTCCTCAGGCTTGTGGACTAGCAGGGCACAGATGGTAACAGCACATGACAGGAGATACCTGTGCACATTTGACAGCTGGCCCACACAATAAGAGGTGTGACATCTGG